AGCTGCATCGATGGCGTAACATCAGAGATCGATGAAACAACAGCTGTTCAAGGTATTCAAGGTATTTATCTGATCTGGTTTGTTTTTTTGTTTGAATTTAGCGCTGAAGCAATCAAAAAAATTCCCAATTCATTCGAATGCTGGGGCGAAAAAAATGAGGAGCAGTTGTGGCAAGAAATATCGATAGACCGAGCTCGCTTTGTCGGATTTAGACGCGTACAGTATCAGTACTCAGTGCCACTGGTACCGTAGTAATAAAAAATATATCGATAGACGATTTCCACTTTGTCGGATACTAGATGCGCCATTGCAACCAATGTTTGGTACCACTACCGTACTTCTGTGGAAATGCAGTCACTGCCCTCGATTTAATCATTTTCCCTTATTAATTTCTTTCTGTTATCAACACTGCTAATCTGCTATTAAATTCCGCGTCTACTGTTCTTTCATTTTCAAAAAAAAAATTTTTTCCTTTTTTCAACAGGTTTTTCCTCAATGTTTCTCACCAAAAATTTTTGCACCCTTTTAATTCGTTTAGATCTTCAATTTGGGTATAAAACCGTGGCCAGATGAGCTGAACAAAAAGATTGCGACGAATATTCGGCACATTCGTATGCCCCAATTACCTGCTATAATGCCTGCACCCATCAAAGCACTCGTTGGCACAATATGGTAGGTTAAATAATTTCCTGAACTCGATAATTTTGACGGTAAATCGCGAATTGCGATATTTCTGCTCCCGATTTTTTTGGATTCACATCGAGGTAATGTAAAGTGGCCAGATTTCGTGCACTGCCTAGCACTTAAAATCAGTCGAGACGAGTCCGGTAACAACGTAATCAATGAACCTGGCTGAGTAAAGGTGCATGAAGAAGGGTAAATGATTTACCATCGCTTGTTTTATGTCCCAAATAGACACAGGCAGTCCTACAAACTAAAGCGGCACTAAAACGCGTTCAGTACATTGTCAGGGTAAAGAATCCGGAGGAGCGACCGCATTTCAAGGTGATATGCAAGAAGATTCGTGAAATGCAAAAGGGTGACCTGAAGCCGCCGGCAATTACTGAATGTTCTGTGAACCGCATTGCAAATGTGAAGCGTGCCCCGTATACCAAGATAGAAGTAAGTGATACTGAAGAACCGGGTGCTGATGTGGTAACAGAACACGTCATGCCTCAGATCCCAGAACATCACTTATGCCAATTTTCGTTCGAATTTGTTCAAATTTAGCATTTTAAAGCATTAGGCATATAACGATTGTTCTGAGTAGAAATTCGAGGGCAACATTCTCAGCTGATTTTTAACACATTTTGAACAAAATAAGCGAGTAAATTTTTGTATTCGATTTGCAAATTTTTAAAATTTTTTTGGGTAATTCTTGCGCGTCCCGGCTAAATGCAACGTTCTGAAGTCAATTTGCAATGAAAAGCGAGATTTGCAATTTTTACTTTTTCGTGTTGAGCCCCTGATCGAAGAAGAGCGAAAAAATGAGAAAGGA